ATTGTTGGATTCAGGGACATCTGATGCTGAACAGCTGTGACATTCTACATTTTTTAACATAGGCCATTCTCAAGGCTTGAAGGTATGGTCCCACTAAAAAATTAACCACATTTGTAGATGATCTAAGGATACTGGATAGGAAGGAATTTCAGAGCATCTTTCTTATTAACTGTCGAGAGATATTCATTGATAAGTTTATAGATGGACTGCTTAGCAAATCCATTCTCTGCCACCACATGAGTCTTGTGGACATCTAATCTCTTACAAGGGCTATTTCCATGGTGATATGGTTTGGAGTGGTCATGCAGAACTAAATCCTGGAACAATCTTCAGGGTCAGTGACAACCCTAAAGGCTTGACTGAAACATTAGTCAACAACTCCCTGCTGCTGATGCTGAAGGGTGGTTTGGTGCAAACAGTGTGGTTCTCTATGGATCAACAGGGCTACTCAGGCCAAGTTATTGTTACTGCACCATCTATTCAGTATGATTGTAATCTGAAAGACATCAGAAGCATGTGGATGATGCCCTTGTTTCAACTGTGCCTTACCATTTTAATGAATTTGGAAATAACATAGTGTGTTGCATTTATTAGTGCCATTCTGACTGATACCACAACAGATGCAAGAGGGTCAATGTCAAATTATGACTATAGCTACTCTTTTTAGTTTAAACTAGGGAAACCTGAATTAACCTGGTACCTGATGATGACAAAACCTTGTCGAAACGTTGTACACTTGCTGTTATGTTAAACTTATATTAAAGTTTTTCTTCATTACCCATTCAAGCCGTCTCCAGCCATTATTAAACCTGAATTAAGTTTGACTACCAAAATTGAGTGTGCACAGCAGTCAGCTTGCACTTAACATAATGATGGCTTTTGTACCATGTTTGACATTCTCATAGAGCTTGGCAATGTGTTTTTAGGACTAAAACTAGTGCCTATTTACGATGTAAAACAATGATATATCATCACAGATATGCATGTAGGTATGTCAAATAAATAACTACTATTCTGACTTTCTTAGAGCATCAGGAATGCTGCCAGTACCAAACTAAGCAGATTCTGAAGGGTGGAATAATACAATTCTGAGTAATATTTGGGTAATCTTAATTGATAATTGACAGAAAAATGGCAAGGTTTTGTGAGGATTGTAGGTGGGCAAAAGCGATAACATGTACTGATATCTTTCCTTTGTTGTGAAAAGTGAATGAATGGCTAAACATGCTAGAAGTCTTGTTTCTCGAACACTGACTTCCCATTATTGTTAATTCAAACTAGACATTGAAAGTAGATCTAAGATTGCTTTCAGCTTCAGAACTCTGAAAGGACAGCATGAATTCCACATCATGTTAGTTGGCTTGTTTAATGCACTTGTCACTTTTTGAGGTGCTGATGGAGTATACCCAGAGGAATACAATGGGAGAGATAATCTCATCTGTGTATATGAAAGTTTGGGTTTTGGTAAACCAGGAAAGTGTGCTGTCATTTCCAAAGTAGTGGAGTTTCGTGCTCACTTATAGGTCGAGACAAAGTGTCTATTGACCCAACAGTGTTTGCAGATGTCAAGTAATGGCCATAGCCTAAGAACAAATGAGAAAACTGCGACTTTCTATATTTAATTAAGTGTGATTTGGTGAAACCAATGGTGCTGACTTATTCATGTCAAGATTGCCCAGTTATTTTGGATATTGATGAAATAGGAGTGTATAATCACAGGTACAGGTCAACATGGACATATAATCATGTATTCTAGCCATACACTGATAGCTTTTGATACCAATTACAGTCAAACATTATATTTAATAATCGTATGGCAGAAAGTTTAAACTTGGGGACATCACTTTTCACTTAAAATTCTACCCTTAAAGGTGAAATTGCACATTGCATAATGATACTGTAAAAGAAAAAACTACTATGCAACACCACCCAGGTTAGCTGTAAGGAAATGTAAATGGGTTATCTTGCCAGCCATCAAGATCACATCTCTTCATTAAATGTCCAAATCTCATATGCTGTGCAGCAGTCAAAGCAGTTCAGTAGCAGTGACGATGATGATCCATATGATTAGTGACAAGCCTGATAGTGAATAGACACCAGTCATGAAGTTTGGAAAGATACTGAAGTATCAGACATAACTTAGACACCACCTGCTGTATAGCAAGGTGAAGCACCTTTAAACACTGGCAACTGTAGTATTAACAAACAAAACATCTGGAACATGTAAATGGTTGTGTACATTATATCAAAACGATTTTGAATATGCCAATTATTAAGTCACTTGACAATCACATCCAATACAAAGTTGCAATGGAATGTGTCAGAACTATATTTTGACATTGTTTGGCATTGTGTAGGTGGTTTGATTCCTTCAGAAATTGATTATATTTAGGAATGGTATGTAACAGTCGTTTCTGATGCAAGGTAGTCATACACTCAAATCAGACTTCATTATTTCCGAAATGGAGATATTCCTTGTGCTGAATACTATTGTAAGCAAAGGAATATGTATCAACTTGGGCCACCAAGACCATTCTGAAAAAGACCTGTAGACGATTGGCCGTACCCTAGCCATGTAAGCAAAGCATGGTCTCTTATAACAAAGGCAACAGTTCACAACATATACAAGAATGATCTCTGTCTGTAAAGTGATATAAGTCGTGTACACAAGCTGCTACCATAACATATCTGGTCAACCTTTGAATACCTCAAGCAGCTGTAGAATGGAAGGGGGAATTCATGCTTTTTCATATGAAGCTATACGACAAAGTTTTCAGGCATGGCATCTATGAATATCTGTGATTGGTATGCTGAAACATACACTGGGTATTGTCTTCTTTGTACACTAGATGGAATAATGAAACCATGAAAAGAAGAGTGGTATTTTTGGACATTACAACTACAATGCAGGGATATTGTCAAGATGCACAGTCCTCACTTCTATCACGACTAGACATGGTGACATAGTAAGGCTCCAAAACTGTAATATAACATACTCAATTATTGTATAGTCAGTTATTAGTGCAGAATCAAATGTATCATTATGCCAACCAAAATTGGTGTGTGGTCCAACTATTGGCTCTAGAACTCTAATACAAGAGATACTTTTGGTATTGGAGTACACTGAGGAGTGTCACACACTGTTGCAAATGTGTGGAAGTGGTCTTCTGACCACATTCATATATAAATATTGAGAAGTGTACACTTTCCAGCCACATCAGGGGAAAAATCTGGCAGAGAGTTATATATTCTATCCCAGAAAGAATCACTCTAGATACATCCAGTCATATGCCTGAAACTGACAGACATAATTGCTATCAGCTATTTCAAGTGTACTGAATTATATCCATTACTCGAAAAATTACTATATTCAGTCACTGATGTGTTGGCTGAATAGTAAATAGCATGATTTGTAGCACTTGGAGAGATCCCCACGGATGAAGAAACAAACTCCAATAGCTAGTTGTTTGTAGAGTTGTATTGAGCATTAGATGTGAATGAACTTCAACATATCATCGTCTGTGTATTGGTTTGGTTGATAGGTATGGTTTGGCATACATTCAAGTGAATACCTGCTAAGGTTATGAATGATGTGAGCATGAACTAGATGAACAACTGCCACATATGATGCCATACAATGAGACTGAGAAACAATTGATTTCTTGTTCCCAAATTTCGGATGTGTGAATGAGAAGTACAACTCCCAGTTGTTCTGATGTATGGTCTTCTGCACAGTTCAGACATATCACGTTCTCAGAAATATGTAGCTGTATGATGTCATAGTTGGTGCATGTCAATTTATGTGTCAACAGGTATGTAAAATGGTTCTACATTGAAAGAGTTGCATTACTAAACAGTAATGGAACTAAAGTCCAAACCTGGTGACTAGGCTTGACGTGACATATTATATCATTATGATGACAACAATGGTGTATGCTACCATGTATAAAGTCATACCACTATACTCTTAGCTCAGTTAAAACGATTGGTTGAAAAATCTAAAGCTGAGAGGATATTGCAATCCTTATTTCCTGAGCTAATGAGTGAGATGATGATCTGTCATTTTGTTTTAATGCTGCAATCTGTTAGCGAGTTTAGAGGAATTTCTGTGGAACAGACTGTAAAACAAATTCACTAGATACAATGCTCGAATATCTTAAGTTCTTAGATAATATTTTATGGTAATCAATAATTGGTTCGACTCTTTTTGTTTAGGACTAGGAATTATGACAAATGAGCTGCCAGGTTTTATTGTAAATGTTTGTGGAAATTTATCTGTAGAAACTCACTGAAAGAACTTTGTAACTCGACGCAATTTTGTGTTGTATTGCTATGCAAGATTGCACTTGATGACCAGTTAGGATGATTTTTGTGGTAAATATTGGCAGATGTTTACCTGTTGGAGCTTCCCAAGCATGTTTAAGTCGAGAAGATTTTGTGTCGTGTTATGCAAGATTACACCTGATGATCATTGAGGATGTGTTTTGTAGTAAATGTTGATGGATGTTTACCTGTAGAAACTTTATGAACAATCTCACATCCTTGTGCATAAGTCAATATGATTTTATGTTGTGTTGCTATGCAAAATTTTACTAAAAATCTGGTTGGTGTATGCCAGTCTTTCTGAAGTGCGGTAACAGAGTTGTGCTCTAACACAACATGGGTAATTAATAAAGACTGTATAAATCAGGCAGAATGTGCATCATTTGGCTAAATTTTATTCTGAGTTATTTTCATGGTTATCTGACATACCAGAAATATAAAGAACCCCTAGATGGCATTGCTAATGAATGCTGTGGTAATGAAAGTAATTTAGTTGTCATCTCTTGTGCATTTGCTACATCGAACTCTATGTATATGTGTGTATCTTGTAGTTGATGATACAAAATGTTATCTGTATTGACGTTTATGACAGAATAGGCTGTATCTGCTTCTTTTTCTATTAATGATGACTTTTATTTTCTAAATATTGTTTGAGTTGAGTAATTCTAACTCTTAAGGTGGCGCCTGATGGCTTTAACTCCCTCTTTGGAGCACAAGAAAAGCATGCCTGATGGTGATGTGGATTGCCATGGACACCAGACTGACTGCTGAACAGTGAAGTCAAATACGGCAAGTATCTCTTCGTTAATTAATATGTGATGATGGATTCATAAGTGCAGTGCTTTTCGTTACGTATTTAAATGACTTTGTGAATATTCCTTTATGTAGACAACTGTGATACAATAAGAGTACAGCTTTCCAGTCTAATAAAGAATTTTGTTTCCAGTTTTGAGAGATTTATCCTGATATAATTCCTCAACAAGATTAGATGTAATTTATGATCTTTGTGTTCAAAACATTAAGTTGTGGTATTACAACAATGTTTATGTGGGATACACAGATATAATTATGAATTTATTAGTGAAGCTAGAAATAACTTTACTTATTTATTCAGATCGCGTTTGTCTTCTGTTGGAAAATAAGTTGGGGTTTGAGTTGTTTGGCCCCCAGAGTCAGAGGCAGTTTCAATCACAGACATAGGGAACCAGTATTCAGTCTTCTGTCTACATTTTTAAAGTCACGATACATATTTTAATTAGAACAATTCTTGTAAAGCAAAAATAAAAAAATATTAACATGAAAGCGAACAGTTTAATCAATTAAATTAAAGGAAATGAAAAAAAGGATTTAGTTTACAGTTTTTATGAGAAAATATTATAGTGATTATGTTTTGATCATAAAAATACACTTAATAAGATTAACAATAAATTGACACCAAGCTGGGAAATTCAAATTATCTGATCATTTACAACTTAGAGCCTGTAGCTTACACGGTAACAACTAAGGTGACAAGTACAGATGAAATTTAGAAGTTCGTAATTAGACCTACTTCATATAGAATATATTTATTTCATACTTTGTTGTTTTTTTTTATTTTATATATCAAACTTAGACTTGAATGAAGATTGTTTTAACCGCATTGACACTAAATGGTGAATTTTCATATTTTGATTTTAATTTTACATCAATAAGGTCAAGTACAGCAATCTTATCTTTTCGATGACGAGGAACCCACTTTGAGACTAATAACGCTTGGAGACGGCTTGAATTGGTATTAAAGTTTTTCTTCATTACCCATTCAAGCCGTCTCCAAGCATTATTAATCTTACCTTTGTTGTTTTTTAATATTTTGCATGGAAAGTAAGAATGAAAATTATTTAACGCGTTTGTGTTGATTGTCTTACTTCACTGTGAAACCTAAACATAATAAAAATTGATGTACTTAGTTATCTATGAAATTTTATACATGATGAAAGACAAAAGGCAAAAATAAATTATCAAATGTTTATTGATCGTACAATCCTTTGCAAAATGTGGATGCTTGTGACAATTTTATTAATCAAAATTAAAACTTTATTATTTAGAAACAACTTAAGATTATTCATATGTTAGAAATGTATAAAATGTTTCTGGCAGGATGCTAACTGTCATAAAGTTAACGACGTAGATGAAGTATAGTTAATTAACTTACCAAACTTTTTGAGCGTTTGACCAAAATAAAGTATGTTTTGTTGGAGCTACAGAACCAGACGATAATCTACTAAATAGACATATGAAAATGTGTTCTTAACTTATTATTTTATTAATTTTGATTATTTTATAACTTATTAATAGCACGTGATGTTTTAAAATGTTTTGTTAATACAATATTTATATATTTTTAATATATGTTTATGTTATATAACTAACAAAAGCAGCTGACATAAACAAACGGTAATAATATAGTCAGCCAAAATAAATACTCTTTAAATTAGTTTACCAAATGGCTCTCCTATTATTACCATTTTTCTCAAAAGTTTAAAAGTTCTACTTCCTGCAATAAACGTCCACGGTAGGACAGCGGTAAGTCTAGGACTTACAACACTAATATCCGGGATTCGATGACGGACTTTGCTCTACAATAACCAACCAAATCATGTAATAAACTATTACCATAAACGTGATAATCATAAACGTATAATCAAAATATAGTTCTAATTGTTATCGTTTTAGAAAACTTTGCCTCTTTATAAGTGTGTGTACAAAGAAAAACATTCTTTAACGAGTGCATGTGATCATGAATATAAAGGTGTTTTTTCATCAAAATTAGTAACTAATGCAAAAAACCATAAATCCAACATTTCTTAACTTGCATTACAAAAATTATAAATAATTATCCTCATAATAACAAAAGGAGAAAGTGTATTAAGACAGAAATTTGCATTTTTTTTTTTTTTTTACATTAGAGATGAAAATATGAACTTTCACCTAGTTTAACAGTAGAGCAATCTTTATAGACAAATTTCGAATATTAGAAAGAACAGTTTTATGGACAAGTTTTGCTATTCATGGTTCATAAATAACAACTATATTTTCTGATTTGCATTCAAAACATTCAAGAAAAAAAATATTGTAAACATGACTAGCCTTGAAAGTAAAGTTAGAATAAAAGAATTGTTGTGTACCACACATATCTAACGTTTTCCTAAGAGTTGGTCGTGTATCAACTTGTTCGTGGTAGCACCAACTGGAATCTTGTCGCCATTTTGAATACTTATATTAAAGTTTTTCATCCCCTTCTTGCTGGTGGTTCCGCTTGGGTTGACATTTAAACCACCACTTGGACGTAGATCGTGGGAAGAGTGGGTTCCCACTGTCTACCTGTTAGAGTGGAACAGTTCCCATTTTAGAAGAGTTACTGATATAACTAAAATCAATTTATATGTATACACACATACATATAGCGTAAAATCAGTTACATTAGTGTATTGGAAATATACCGATTATGTTGTCTTTCATATCTCAGTTACACACGTTTAGTTTTTAACTACATTTATGCATATTCTCACAAAAGTAACAATTAGATAGTTTTGTTATTATAGATCTTAGATAAATATTTAGCTAATTTTCAAAATTCTTACGTTTATAAAACAATAAATTGCGTACAAAATCAATAATGAAAACAAAATTCATCGGGTATATTTTACACCTCACCACAAAGATTTAATTATTGAAAATAAACTGTGATTCTCATTTTACCGTCCCAAATGTCTTTTTGTAATGCCCCCAAATTCCTCATTAATATTTAGGGAACACTTCTGGTTAATAAAAATAACGAGAACGATTCACATTTTCAGGCTTAATAACAGGAAAACATACTGTTTCATGTTCAGTCTTGGTTGAAGCAGTTTGATATATAAAGACTCCTTGAACTACAGCTCATTATCTTAAAGTGTTGGTTCTCTTCTGTTTAATACACTTGATAAAACTTCTCTACTTTCTAATTGGACGAATTATATGTGTTAGTGATAATTATCTGAAACGTTTCTTACATTTTTAGAGAAAGAATTACTTACAGCAAAAGTTTGGTCGTTAAACCTGTAATAACAGTTTCCTTTGAAAAAGTAAGTCTGACCATTTTCCCACTCTAAAACGGCATCAATGTTGTTAGGAATTCCTTTCCAGTTATTAATAGGTCGAGGATAATGACTGTTAACTGGTGGATCTTTATGACTATCGTATCTCCAATAAGAGTTACCTGATGTACCAAAAGTAAATAAAATAAATTCTACAATCATTAACTGTAAAATAATCACACAATTTTAATATTGACAAACATGACAAGCAATATTTCTTGCAAAAATTTTAGTGGAATTAAAAATGATTTGAAAACGATGCTTTATCACAACTCATTTTCATTTTTTTTTTATTTGGATGGAGTGAGTTTTAGTATCTCATCAGCTAAAACCCCTGCGTTAAGTTTATTCCACTACATATAAATAGTATTTCAATAGACATTTAGCTACCAAAGTTTGAGACTATCCGACCCAATTGTAGTATTGAATGAAGGACCTATTGTGCATAACTTGTGAACACCAAATAATAAATTTCAAATCCAATGTTACTCACCGCTGATTTAAATTGTTTGATTTAAGCGGAATATGATAAAAATATGAGCAGTCATGCGTGATTTTATTAATTACATTTCTTAGTATTATGTGTAACATTTATTCCTCGAATTATTTACTACGGCCATCAAAATTTTCTCTGCCAATAGAAATCTGATACTTTATATATTTCATTTTGTAAGTTCACAGTTTGTACTATTGCTTCGTTTTGAAAATTTATCACATAATATAAATGTCAATCAGGTTCAGCAAGGGACCTGTTTGGTATGGTTTTGAAAAAAAAATATATATATATAAGGCAAGCATTTAACAAGGAAAAAAAAAAGACCGGGAGATGTAAAGACTGTGAAATTATCGGTATTCCACAAAAGACTAAAAGATGAAACAATTGAACGAAGAGTGTGGTACTACGCCTTAATTTTGAAGCATAGAATAACATCGCGATTAGAACGAAACAGAGCCAAGACTGAATACAATCAACATCTTTGATTCAGGAAAAGGGGAGAGATGTGTTATGAATTTCGGTGTAAAAATCGGTTGATGTTTAGATAAGTAAGAAAATGGCCGACTCTTGGTCAGTCTCTAAGTGCTTAGGGGATTACAGCACTTAGTGATTAGAGAATTACTGGAGGGATTGTACGCCTTTCTTGTTTAGCTACTGTAGAGTTTACAAAACCCACTATGATTATGAGCATTGTGATCTTAATTACGGAAAAAAGAAGTGCAAGGTCAGACAAAAAAAGGGCCTGTTGGCGTAGTTTTGAGAAAAAAATGACAAGTATTTAAAAATAATAGACCAGGAGATGTAAAAGAGACCGAATAAACTGAGAGAGAGGTAAAGGAAGATGTACTAATCTGCCAGTAATAAATAAAATCAAATTCAAGTTAAGAATTTTCTTAACTACTTAGATTTACCTTTCCAAGTGTAACGAATTTGTTAATATATATTTATTCTAATATCAACGTTTGTTCAGATTAAGTTTATATTTACAAACATGTGAACTGGAGAAAGTCCCAAATGGTTATTTTTTTTAAATGGTGTGCTTATGAGGAAATGGAGACCACCAGATGTGCCAGCTTCAGAGGACTGGGATATTGTTTATCGAGTCGTTGTTCCCAAAGCATATCACTCTGAAATATCGAAAGTTGCCCATGAACTTCCCACGGGAGGTTATTTAGGTGTCAACAAGACATGTGATAAAATTATGAGACATTTCTTTTGGCCAAACATCAGACAAGACGTTTCTCAATTTTGTAAAACTTGTCATACCTGTCAGTTAATCGGAAAATCTAATCAGAAAATTCCTGTTGCTCTTTTGAAACCCATCCCAGCTTTTGAAGAACGTAATTTCAGTCCTGAGGACATGGTCTTAGTATTGTTACCCATTATGGGATATCTAATCAAAAAAGAAAGAGAGAGAGAAAAAGAAAAAGACAGACAGAAAGAAAAAAAGACTAAAAGAGAGAAAGAAAGAAAAAGATAACACACAAAAACAAAACATAAGATTGTTAAATTGCAGTTTATCACTATAAGAGTATGATTTGGGGGTAATCCATGTCAAAGGGATTGATAACATTTGTACAGATTCACTTTTACGTGCAATGTAATTTTGTGATCATCAGGTTATTTGTATTGGTTGTGTTCACACTGTAATTATTGAAGTTTTGTAATCTTTTGGGTAATGTACTATATTTAATGTATTGTTGTCAATGTTTATATATATAATATATTGGTCATAAATTGTCTAAAGTCAATTTCTAATTCTCTTAGGAGGGAGTTGTAACAAATTTGTTATTATATATTCATTTCAATATCAATGTTTGTTCAAATTAAGTTTATATTTAAAAACCATGCATAGCTTATAGTGTTAGATATGTATTGCGAAACTCCCGCCTATTCTCCAAAGTTGTAGAAGATTCTCGAGAGTAAGAATCAACAATATATCTATATACGTAAAAGTTTAAATATAGCTCAGTATTGTTATGTAATTTGAATTTTCTAGAAAACCTTCCCACGCCTATAAATTCAACCAATGCGACGTGCCAAAGAGAATGTCTATTAGTAGTTCGCTATAACCAGTGTGCTATAAACTTCGAAAGCTATAACTGTGATTGTTATAACGCTTACCAATCGGAAAAC